CACCTCTTTGTGAGGTCCGAAGTCAACAGAAGGGCCAATGATAACCACCATAAAGACTGGCATTCGACATAAATTTCATTAAAAAAACATACACTGTTTCTGGAGGAATTTCTTCGGAGATGTTGATTTGAAAGACGGGCAGGGGAAATTGGACAGGTTGAAAGGCGGTGTAAACCAGTAAAAGCATGTCAGCAAAACTGGTTTCCGGCACTTCAGCACGTAGATCCACCACTCGAATACTTAATCGGTAGACGTGATTGGAGAGAAATGGATAATCTCCAACAGTGGTGATTACTCCCTACGATGAAACAAACCTTTAATTTACATTTATCAATATTTAATTGCAATAAATGAGGGTGAAAAAATACTGTTTGGCCATAATGATAGATAATCTTCAAAAATCCTGAGAACTTGAATTGGCATGTATATATTTTCATGGAAATCCATTCGCAACTAAGGCCTTTATTCTTAAGGTATTCTTGGATTCTTCAGGATGTTAGAGTTAGATGGGGCCAAATCTTAACGAGAGTGGATGGAATGGTTTTAGAAAATTGGTCCATCAAACATATGATAAACCCGAGGTTCGAAAGTAGACCTCAATCCGACAAAGTAGGCATCAAGAAAAGATGGATCTCCAGCTGAAAGAGCCTCTCAAATGAAAAGTGAAACGCGAAGTCCTGAATAGGCAGATGCATTTGCAAAATCAATGCAAGATAACTGCTTAAAGTAAGATTTCAACCTGCCATTAATTTAGAGAGAAATGACAATTCAATTGGAAGATTTCGAAACAGAAATTCAGAGTTCTCAAAACATTTGGCTGTGGAGCTTTGTCTTATTATAGATTTTCTTGTTTCGAGATGGTGAATATCAGCAAGTAGAGTTTAAATTAATCTTTGAAAGTTACTTTAAAGGAAAATCTATTAGGTCAATAGCGGTTTTCACACCTTAAATTCCATTCCGTTAATAAAGCATTTTCCAAATCTACTAGATTGTTTTTTTTAATGGTGCCGACCACATTTTCACAGTTGTGGGAAAATTAGTTGCTTACTGGTAAAAATCCCATTATCTTGACAATAGAGAGAGAGAGAGAGATGACTTCCAGAGTTGCTGAAATGGCACTAATCAAGTAAGTTTGTGCCTCAGATCAATGAGTGGGAAGGGAAATCGATAACTAGAACAGATGGAAACTAGCATCGGCGTTGAGCAAGTGAAACATTAAGATACAATTAGGGAATTGACTCATACTTCATGATATGCAACCAGTAAACAAATTTTATCCGAAAAGTAAGACAGCAGAGTTATTAGGCAGAATGGATTAACTCAATACACCATCGTTTAAGTTGGCGTTTATCTGATCTGGGTAGGATTTGGGGCACTTTGCGTCGATAAAGTTCCCCTATTTTACTTCACATTAAACGGGTTTTTAGCTCTCCCCTTGATTAACTCTGAAAAACACTACTTAAGTGCTTACAGGTTTATATCTGATGTCAGAATTTATTACATTAAGTTACTACCGGTATGCTTATTCGAAAGTAATACTGTAATAAACTTGGATTCGAAAACAACAGCAACAAGAATATGCTTGGAAATTATTAATATTTATGGGAATTAAATGCGACTTAATCGCTTACATCTTCCGATTTGGTCTAGTCTTAACTCCAATAAGTTATCAAATAGTAGTTATCAAATAGTATTTCTCAAATAATTTTTTACTAAGAAGTTAATATATAAATTGACAGTTTGCTAGTAATCAATACATACCACGAATTTCTTGAGATAAAATTTGAAATACTTCAATGAAAACTTCCTGCATTCAATAGTGCGATGAGTTAAAAAGACATCATACCCTTTTCTGTTCAATCATTTATGCAAAGAGACAATGAAAAGACCGTCAATTTTGACTGAGATCTACCTGGTGTGAGATATTTGAAGCCATTCAGTTTCATTCAAGCTCAATTTTAGGGAATGTTAAATGAAATATTCAACTCAAGATGGTGTATTTGAAGAACTAATTTTTACATTTACATGCAATTTTTAGACGTTTATTTATAATAAAATCAAATATATTTCCTAAAACATGAGAAGAAATGAATTGAGTAATTATTACAAGACCTAGAAGATCCCGTGGAGAACATGTTCAAATCTAGATCAAATATTGGTGTACTACAACTATTACAACTCCTTAAATAGAAAAGGCAGTCACACTGAAGACAGGAGAGACCAATCATCCTCAAATCGTTTTGTCTCAATTTCGATAATAGTCACAAATCCAATTTTCATCATTTAAGTCGGCTATTTGACCGCAATAAAGGCTTTCGCAGACATGTTCATCTGCCTTTAGAGCTAGAGGTGGTTTTTTCCTGATATTCTGTTCAAGGAATACGAAGCAGGGGGTTATATATATATATATATATATATATATATATCATCGGTTGATACAAATCGTCAACCATTGGTACGATTAGAGCTAGAATTTGGCAATCCGGACTAAAAGAGTTTTAGACAAAAAATATAATCTACCCAAACTTCGGTTCATGAAATACGTATATATTAGTTGATGTTCATGAAAAGTTATATCTGCTGCAGTTTTCATTCAATACCCTTCAAAACTAAGCTTCAATCAAAATGAGTATGGTCTAAACTAGTGCAGATCGTTGATGGTGCTCGAAAGTTTCTCAAACATAGTTTGATCCGGGCAAAATCTCATTTTGTTAAATATGGTACTTCAGGGAGTTCTGGTATGTATTTTCTTACAATGTTTAACATCTGTCAAGTGGGAGTGGGTGACAAATCGCTGTTCAACAAAATGGACACAAGAACGTAAGTTCCTGGTAAGAGCAGTACGAGGTAAATTTGCACCAAATGGATAAAAAGGTGGCAAGGTCAAATAGTAAAGCTATTCCGTTCAGTTGGAAAATAGACAAAGCATTCAGAATGTCAAAACTCCGGTTTTAAAGCACTAACTTCGGCAAACATTGAAAACGATATATATTAACCATTTAAATGCAATAGAAGGAACTGTGGAACCTAAATTACATTGAATCAGCCATAGGAGATATGAGTACAGCAAAAAATGGAATGATTTAAGAATTGAATGACAAGGTATAATTTAACGTGTGCGGTCTTTAAGTGTTGCTGCAAACACACACACGAGTGATTAGGAGGTATAATTAAGGAGCCGCTTGCGTGCGAATTACAGAAAAATTGTGCTGTGAGTTCTGTGCACACACACATGTTATTTTGGTGTGTGGACATGACAATCTGACACTTGAATTAGTCCTTTTCGTGATAGTCTTAAAGAGATACTTAAAAGTGGACTTACTTAAGTAAAAATTGTGGACAAATTCTGTTAGTATTTGTTACTTGTTATCTAATGAAAATATACAGAATGAGATAAATTATCAGTAGTAAAATATGGCTCAATTTATAAACTTAAACTAATATGAGAAATAAAAGACCTACATATATAATCATATGCAATTACTTTTGTTTAAAAATTTATAGAATTTTCAACATCAATTTCACAATTGTTTGTATATTAATGAAAGGGGATGTAGATATGAGTAAGATCTTTTTTTGCACAATTGGACATTATGATTAAAATTATGAAGAGATCAGTATTTAACTAATAATTTAACGAGAAAAGAATGTTAAAATTTCCAATTCGTTATAAATTCAAAATGAAAATTCATGCAATAATAATACAATAAAATACAAAATGAGTGAACAGTGAAAAAGAATTCTTACAGAAGTTGGAGAAATGGAGAACCTTTTCGTAACAGACGTATCCAAACCGGGAGTCCATCTAAATTCTAGAAGAGCCTTAGCATCCGCATCCATTGCTTGGACTTGAAAAACACGTGTTCCCGGAGGTGTTTTAGATTCTTCACTAAGAACTGCTTTCGCTATTGAATCAGGGTAACCTGCCCAAAATGGAACAAACACCGGGCGTTCATCATTGACATCAATTACCTTGACAGTTACAAAGACGTTTTTGATCTCGGTTGTAGCTAATGATAAAAATTCAGATTTTACTTCATAGTGATAAAATTTAGATGGGAAATTTGCATTAGAAAATTATTTACGCGGAAGATGTGATCCAGAAAATGCCTTGACAAAGAATATATATGATTGCTGCTTTTCAAAGTCAAATGGATTATGACTTTTAATACGAATTTGGCACGATTTAGAGGATAAGTATACTGGATTATCTGCCTCATCGTTAATAATCGAACATCTTGGATTAGATATCTTAAGATAACTGTTTAGATGCAGTAAAATCCCGTGACTTGTTTCGGGAACGTATACAGAAACATCTACTGTATCTTTTTGCAACGTAAATGTTACTCCGAAAAAAAGTACCCATACATATTTGTACATTTTGTGAGTTTAATTTCACGCCACTTCAAAAACCATTGGCCTTGAGAGTCATAAAATATTAATGAAATAAAAATAATAATTTTAGCACTTGTATATTTTGAATTGCCTCAAAATTAAATTGCTGCAAATTCAATTATAAATCCCAATATCGTCTTAAGAGTACTATCCTAGGGGAATATTGCTTTATCGTTTCCAAAAAAATTTAGAAATATATCAAAGGATCAATCGTCCAATTTGACGTGTTAAGATTAATTTTCTTATAAAAATTGCGGTTATTAATGCGTTTTAGGCAAGAGTAAATCTCTTTTTATGTCTTACTAAAATGTATACACTTCCATATCCATTGTAGTCAATCGATCATATATCAAGTCCCACAAATTATTTTAGGGAACACTTGAGGTGTTATTAAATTAATCAACATGCTCAAGTATTTGAAAGGTAAAGGAACTTCTACTTCTGTCAAACTAATAGATTTGTAATTGTGAATTATTTTTCAAAAAACTGGCTGCATTGTGAAAAGTAAGAAATATCTTACTGCAAGAAACGAATGTCCACAAAACTATTCTAAATGAATTGCATAAATTTTACCACACTTATGTTTTAGGTATGCACTCTCAACCCATTTACTCTTCAATTATAGGTTAGCCTCATTTTACGGCCCGTTTGCAAACTAGTTCAATGGTGATTATATTTAAGCTTAGTTTTAGTTCTTATTAGTTTATGTTAATTTGTACACTTTGCTGTATATTACTTTCATTTAGTTCGATGTTATTTTTAATACTTTATATCTCGGTTTCAGTCTAGTTCTAAAGTTTCTTCAAGTACTCATAGAGATAATTGGGATGCATCTCCCGAGAATAAGCGCATTAGACATGGACGTCGAGATCTTTCACCAGTTCCTCCTCCTCCTGCGGAATCTCTCGGTGAAACACGTCGCGTCTTCTTGAAAAGGAAGCACGACGATCTTCCAACCACCAATGCTTTTGCAATTCGCACTATGCAAGAGTTTCTTCGTACAGATGGCACCAAAGACACTGATGGCTCTACCTTAGCGACTAAACGTCCTAAATCAAGTGTGATCGTTGTTTCTAAACCTACTATTGATCGTGTCTATCTATGTCCCATTCTCATTCGTGTATTTTATACCACTGATGGCCGTCATACACCATCATCTGCTTTCGCTGATGGAAAATATCCTTCAAATGAGGTTCAAATCAACACCTGGATGAATGCTTCCTTGAAAGAACTGTCCCAAGATATTGTTTTAGCCGTTAAGTCTCAATCCGGGGACAGAAAACGACAGCCTCAGCTAAGAATTACGCAGCCTATCCGACTGCACTTCTCCTCCGTATTTCCTGATAATGTTTCTAGGGGAAAGTATAGGAAAAGAGATTTGGGTTTCTGTGTTATCAACAATTTTACTGATGGGGAAGAGGATGCCAGGGCTACGCTTGATGATAGTGGTGCTACACTCGAGTCCAAAAAGTTTCATGTAAGATTCATTTGTGCAAAATGCCTACCTTGGCGTCATCAATTTAATTTGATTCTTTTATCTTTTTAAGATTGGTGACTTTCTGGATGTGGCGATATGCAATGTTGGGGAGAGAAGAATTGAGGATGGAATTCGTCCTCGAAGGGGACTGGATAGGAAGGATGCAGGTCGTTTTTAGTTAATATCTGGTTTTTCCCTGTTTGCGTGTACAGTTTTATCTCAGCAAATATACCATCATGAGATGATTAATTAAAGAAAAATTATTCAAAACTCAATTTTGGGTAATTGATGGTGAAAATTGCTTATTCGAAAGAACATCACTTTATGTCTTTGTTTCTCCCTTATCTGATAGCCGTCTATATCCATGGTAATCCATTTCACCTAAACATAAAAACTCGTGTCACCTTTTATAGCGAAATATGTGTTTGATGATATAAACTGCTGTATTTACTGGCCTGCCCTTATATAATTACGTTATGTTATGTTCAGAACCGGAGGCTAAGAAAAGGACTAGGCTTCATGGAGCTTAGAAATGAATATTCATTACGCCAATTACAATAAAGATATCCTCAAACTGATTTTATCTTAGACATGTTCTCCACTGTTATTCGCACCTGTTGGGTTCTTGTTAGTTTCACTTAGTCGGGTGCAACTACGAATCGCGCGCCTAGAGATAAGCTTGGCAAAATCGTTCCGTCTTTTCAACAACAAATAATGCGAGTACCGATTATTACGATTGAACTCCACTTTATCGTTGGTATATTGATTCAAAGGTGATAAGAGACGAGTTGAATTAGTTTTGTGCCAAACTTCCTTATGTTTTAATCTTCATCAAACCACCGATAAACACTATCACTGAAGCTGGAAAACTTGTCATCCAACTAGCGTCTTTGACAGATATTGGCGATATAAACTTTACTAAACATTTATTTATATCAAATGGCAGGCGTCTTGATGGTTACCATTAGCCCTTTAGTTGACTTCAGGCTTTGCAGAGATGAGGAGGAACATCAAAGTGAAAAAAGTCGAGAGGGGAGGAGGGGGGGGGGGGACAGCAGAGAGTTTCAAAAATGTAAAAGAGGTAGACATAAAGGTATTAAAAATGTGAGGTGAGTACTGTGGAAGTAGTTGAATATGACAGTGGGGGGATGGTAGTTTGAAGTCAGAAGTCAACTGCCGGTTAATGGATTTTTTGCCGTATGAGTATAAGTTGTCCAGGGTGCACCACTTGAAAGTAAGTCTACCGCACACCCCCAATTTACTAAACATTTGTTTAGAACCTTTGGCGTTACATTTAGATTGTCGTTGCTAATTTCACTTACGTGTCGGAGAAATCAGATGAATCGGTTAGTCAAGACGGAATCATTAAAAATGAAACCGAAAATTTAACACATGACGCCAAACAAAACAGAGCATATTCGATCCCCGCTTCTTCTCATAGTTGCATTTTTTGCTAAATCGCCTTGTATAATCAAATTATTCTAACAGATGTAACAAGATTGAGAAAGACCTAAGCTGGAGTGCAGAGGTTTTGTGATCGGAAATATCCACAAAACGAAGGACAAATACAGCATCATAAAGCAAGAAGTACGAATTACTAATAACAGGCATATCGGAAAAGAATTTACGACAACTATAGTAAAATATGCGAAAAATCAATTTTAGGCGACTCAAAGGTGAAATGCGAAATCAACTGGCCTAAATGCCAGCATGAAGTAGAATAAATTTAAGTGCAAAACAGTGCATTGTTTCAAGAAAGACCATATGCTTAGAGAGTCAAAATTAGTATCCATAGGTAAAATTAATGATTCAACACATAAAACAATTCAAATAGAAGACAATGATGGATGCTATTTCTATATATTCACAGAACTTTACAGGTTTTCAATGCATACATCTACAATACGCAGAGTGACAAGATTGTCCTGGAACACTAAAAGGAAACAGCGATCAAGAAAAAACATGTGTGTTAATACCTACCTCGCATAACTCGATGACGTCTTCTTCGATGAAACTGATACCAAAGCGAAGGATGCTGAAGTGTCTTTTCAACCACCATAGCGGTAACCAGGACATTGTTTCTGGGAAGAATAGGTCTTCCAACTATTGTGAAGTCGGAATTCCCTGCTAGCAGTACCTTTTCGAAACGAATTAGTTCACCAGGCTGGGCCTCCAAAAGTGGGGCTTTTGCGGAAATTAAATCGTTATTTGTAACTTTAAACTGCTTGCCAGCAAAATGAATGACTGCAAAATTTCTTGAATTATTCAGGGCAAGCGATTTAGCTACATTAGTTCGAACCTCTATAGGAAAATCAAAATATATCCTTAAGGCATACCGTTGTAAATCTGCAGATCAGAATCTGAAAGATCCTTCTCAGATATACATTTGTTTAGTTCAATGTCAATTCTAAAAAGATGAAAAAATTTTTAAACAGATAACCTTTCTTCCTCAAGAACGCTCTGAACACGGTCAATCTTGTGCCGATAAGGCTTTCTGGGCGTATTTCGGCGGATCCAGTCGTAAAGATTATAGGAGGTGTGAATAGTTCGGAAACTTGATGGGAGAATCAATGAAGTAGTTCGGGTTATTAATGAAGAACAAACTCTTGGACCAACGGCTAAAACCCAGCTGCAATTCAAAGCCATCTAGAGTGAAAAGCAGACTGAATGAAAATTTAATCCTTTTGGAAGATAAAATATTGTCATAAAACATAGGAATAGAAATTGTTAGATAATCCCACTAAAAATTTTCCATAGGCACACCTGAAAAACACCGTTAGCAGATCTTTAACGCCTAACTTGTAGGTCATGAATGGGACGTCATTCCTCATAATTTGAAGTCACTTTAAAATTGATTTTGTTTAGGAATGAACCAGTAGAAAACAACTAGAATTACACAAATATTACTTACATATGAAGCAATTCTGTCGTATAACTTAAGCAGCAAATCAAAATATATATTTAAACATTTCTTTGAAATTATTTAAACACGTTTGAGAATTTTCTTAAGAATTTCAAGCCATTCAACCTCATATTACGCAGATGAACAGGCAAGGAGTAAACTATTAGGGTACTTAATTTAGTTAATGGAAAACTGTTTTTATTTGTATTAATTCCGGTGATTACATGTTCCGACTCAGTCTGTTAAATTATTAATGATTTTTAGGTTGGTATTGGAGCATTATCGAGCTCAATAACGCATCAATTTTGAAAGGTTATGTAAAATGGTAGAACTAAAATTACAAAAATTGCATTTTATAACTTTTAATAATAAATGGGCAAAATCTAAAATAACTAATTATCAACTTGGCGTAATTTATTTTCTTTTTTAATTTGTGTTGTAATATTTTGAAGTATCTTTAATTTAAATATTTTGATCAGTAGATTTGTTTTACAGAGTTAATTTTCTGTGGTAATATATATCTCGGACACCTCGTTCCTCCTTCGAATTTTATTCAGCTGTTGCGTTAATCCACTACTTTCGTCATTTATAACCATTCAGCTTTATTTATTTAATTTAAAATAATATTTTTCAATGATATGGCAGAAGTCAGGGTTTTTCCACGCGATGGCGTCCAAAAATTAACTTCGGATGATTTGAGCGGAACAAACTCCAAACCGAATTCTCGAAATCATCTATCAGCTTATAATGGGACGCAGGTTTCAACTCTTGCTCAGCGGTTTCGAGAAAACTGGTTAAAGTGTAGTCCATCATTCCGTGATATGGATGACTCTTTAACTAATCTAAATTGGCTTTTCGTAAATTAAAATTTATAAATTATTTTTTTGATAGGAAATGAACCCCTTTTCACTAGAGTCAGAAAATTTTGGTGTGAATAGGAATAGCAAGTTTGCTATTGATCGTTCTTCTTGTAATTTTGCATTCATGTATAATCATTTATCTAGTGCTAACCAATACCAAGATCTCCTGTCAACCAACTCACCCATATGCAGGGAGCTTGTTAGATCCTCAAGTCAGACTGGACTATCGAACGAAGTGGACTGGAAAACCTCCATTCTCATATGCTTCACTTATTTGTTTAGCAATGAGAGAGTTGGGGAAGCCTAAAGTCACTCTCTCTGATATTTACGGTTGGATCATGGCTAATTTTGCCTATTATAGGCATACCGATTCTAGTTGGCAGGTATGTTGATTTTCTTTCACCCAGTTATTGGTTTTTCATACTATCGTTTTGGCCTTAAATAGCTCCTCTTATTAACATTCTTGCTCTATTCTTTCTCCCTTCTCAGAATTCAGTCCGTCATAATCTCTCCCTGAATAAGTGTTTTGAAAAGGTTCCACGAGAGAAGGGTGAACGTGGTAAGGGTGGTTTCTGGCGAGTGAATCCGCGACACGCGGATTGGTTGGAGGCCAATTTAGCGAAGTGTCGTCGAGCTGCTCCTCCTCCTGGTCCACCGCCTCCTATTCCCCGTTCCCTTCTTCTCGAAAAACAGCAGGAACAATCCCAACAGCATCATCAAACGACAGATGGCATTTACCTCGCATTTTCATCACCCAATGCTACGCAAAACGCATCTATCTACCAGACCACGCAGCCGAATCAAACACACCAAACCTTCATATGTTATCGATCTATCAGTGTACCTCCTGACGTCTCGAATGAAATTGAGACCGTCACTGTCAAACGAACGGCTTCTGATGTTGTCTACCAAAACCCACCTCAGCAACAACAGGTACAGCAACCTCAACCACAGCCCCATGTTAGAAGACGAAAGACTCCACCATGTTCAATGTATTCTTCAGCTGAACCTGATCTAGTTGAAGTGGATCCAAAATCAGAGCCTTCTCCTCAGTCCAATATTGGTAATTACTCTGCCTTTTCAAACCGCAAACGATTGGCCTTGACAGCTCGCCAAAGAGTTCCTCAAATGTGGTCTCAATCTGGCGGATGTAGAAGGAGCGAAGACAATTCATTTTCTGAGCAGAGATCTTGGAGAATGGACTCGAATCTGAATGTAGGTATCATCAATATAATCTTCGCATAAGATTAATACTGAGGAATGATTTTGAAATTTTACATTTTTTAGTATGGTGTTCGAAAAAGACGGGATGCAGAAATAGAAAACAGTGACCTTTACTGCCATTCTTCAACTAAAAGGCACCACAATCAGCAGCATTCATACTCTTACAGCAATAGTGCTTCCAATTATAGCTATTCAACTACCTCAGATTGTTCTAAGCCCCGCGTTGAAACCCAATTGAGACATCACTCACAAGCACCTACAGAAGATCATTCTTCGCCAATTTTATCTGAACACATTAGTCTGCCGTGTTTGGACTCTTTGCCAAGTATTGCTGAAGAGTCGGATATCATGGATACTAGTAATGACCCATGGAAGGAAGATTTATTTGATTTTAACGCTTTACCCTGGCAGACGATATCAGATTCTAACAATGAACAATCAAACCTTACTGTGCAGTGTAATACACCTGAAGACAGCAATAATTCTGCGTCAAATCGTCACCAAAATTCTTCCTCATCTAGTCCAAGTCCTTTGGCTTCTTTCACATCTTTTGGGCAGTCAGTGGCAAGTTCTATCACTTCTTCGAACACAGACTCGGGCGTTGCTTCTCTTGTGAACCCCTCAGATAGTTTAGATCTGGGTCCGCTTGATTTAGATTTCGATACCGTCTCCTCAACTCTGAATGACTTGGTCGAATCAAATAGCTGTGCTATACCCCCTATTGATGTTGATTTTGGTGCTGAATTGAGTGATTCGATGCCCAGGTCCCTTGAAACACCTCCCACGTCTGAAAATCGGGATTATGACGATTCTAACTGGAATTTTGGTGTTGGCGAAGGAGGATTTTTTGAAAGTGGTCTATCCTTAGGTTAACTTTATTTCATTTCCTTTTTTCTTATTCACCGTTTGTTGATTTTCACCTCTAAAACACTGACTTTTGCCGGTTTTTTTATAACTTTATTAAAATAGTTGTGATACACATGCATTGAACTGAGAGTTCTTGCACCCCTACCCTTAAACACTAAGAAAACTAAAAGAAATATTTCGGCACCCTTCTTTATCCTCTTCTTACCCATTCGCATTAATTTCCTCTTTGTGGTTGTATAGTTCTTTATGTCCCTTTTAAATAAGTTAATTTTAATTTGCAAAAAGCGTTGAACTGAAGGAAGAAAAAATGGACATGGGGCCTGAAACTCGTTTCGAAACAGTTCCCGTCTCTTTGAGCCTTGCTTGTGTATTTTAGTTTATTTCTGTGTGCCAATTTTAAGCAGTATCGGCACATTTGAAAGAAAATCAGACGTGTGCTCAATTTGACGTTCTTCCCTTAGTAGATTTTGAGGTGACTATTGATTTTCTGCTTTCATTCTTAAGAATATCAGCTGCTATTTAGCCCGGTTAGCTATCATCCTTCCCCCCCCCCCTCCTCACTCCCAATTTTATGCTTGACATTTTTACTCCACCCTCCGACTTCATTGATTACCTAATGACTCATGGAAATGGTGTGGTGAAAACTAAGTCATCTTTAGAAAAAAAAAGAAAGTCGTTTTCAGCTATTTCTGTCCTAAGATATTTAGTGGGGCCGTAATCTTATTGAAACCGGAAAGCGGTTTATCCGGTTCTAGGCAGTTCATTTTAGGTGTAACCTGTCTCTTAATGCGTCGCTGACTCAAATACGTGATTCATCTGATAACCGTACTTAAATTTGGCCCCTCTGTAGGTTAAATCACTCGTAAGCATAGATTCCATGGTGAAATATTCTACGAGGTTAAAAGTGATCTCTAATAATAGATAGTAGCTTGCATAATCGTGTTTCCACGAGAGGAAGTTTGAATCTTATCAATAATCTAAGTATTGGCCTATATAGATATTTAATATTAGCTTATAGATGAAGTAATTGAATAATTAAACTTAATCTTTAATTGTGTTACGTGTTTTACAAATCGGTTTATTAAAAATTTAGAGGCCATGAGTAAAAGGTAAAAAAACTGTCTTGGCGGCAAATTTTGCAGTTCATTCTTTTCATATAACCCATGTCGCCAGCTTTTTATCACGTTTAAGAGAGCCCCCCCTTCATCTTCTATTCAGGTCATTTGTGGCCCATTTACTCAATTTCGTCTCAAAATAATATTGCTAAACTGGCACAGACCATGGTTAAGTTATAAAGGCGTTGACCATGCCAATATCAATAAATCCATTAAGGAACGCCATATAACCCACCCACAATCAGCACACAGTTTCGTGTTTGTAAAATTCATTTCATAATACTATAATATCGAACCAAATGCACTTTTTAATGTATTTTAGTATAATCCGTTTGAACAAAAGGGGAGGGGAACCTTTCTCTTAACATAACATTTACCCAAATGCAGGGTCTTTACAAATTTGAGGATACGTTTAGTCATGAAACAAGGATTCCCACGTAACTCCAATCGCGGTTTGGACCGCCTTGATCTTAAAGGCGTAATTTCCAGAGAGTTTTGAGTCCAAGTAGATGGAAACTATGAAACATCATTGTTCCATTTGGTCTTTCTTAAACTTACCTAATTCAATTTCATGTAAATTGGGGTATGCGATAGACTTACCTCCACGTGGTGCGCCCTGGGTAACGTATACTCATGCGGCAAAAAAGTCTATAAACCGGCAGTTCACTTCTGAGTTCAAGCTGTCATGACCGCACTGTATGTCATATTCGACCATTTACACAGTACTCATCTCACCTTTCATCTACCTTTGTGTCTGTCCCTTTTACATCTTTAAAACACTCTTCTGTTCCTCCCCCTCTCGACTTTTTTTTCAATTTGATGTTCCCCTCCCTCTGTGAACCCTGAAGTCAACTTAAGGGCTAATGATAACTATCATAAAGCCTGCCATTTGAAAAAAATTTCATGTAAATTTCTGAAAGGAAATGTTCGCTCGATCATTTTTAGTACACTGTAGCCATTAATTAGTATGGAAATACAAGATCTTAGGTTTTGGTGATAAAGATAGAAGAAGGGGATTGCTTTCATGCAGTTTGAAGGATACTGTAATTTGATTAACTAATATTAAATATATTAACATGCATACTACCTGAGCAGATTTTCCCGTCTGAACTAAGTAGTTCCGGGAAATGCAAAATTATGTATTGTATTACACAAGACATATTGTAGGATAAAAAGGCCGTGATAACTGATGGTAATTGGATTGAAACCAGTATAAGTCGTCAAAAGGTGTCTTTTTTGGAAGAAATAATCTAACCAAAGTTTAATTATGGAATACACTTGAGTTGGCGAAAGGTGAGAGAGAGCCAAATGAGGAGTAAATGGTGATCGAGAAAATGGTGAATAATTCGAAAAGGTGACTTAAATATTTTTGTGTTTCATTTGTAAATTCTGAAAGTATGATCCATAGGTGGAGTAATTTTTGAAAATTCCGAAATTAAATTTTCGAGATTAAATCTTAAGGTTTCTGCGTTGAGTGATGTCCAAAACATTCAGAGATAGTCGAATCTATTTAAAGCCATGTGGAGGTTGGAACGACCTGCGAAATTATTTTAAAAATAAAAATAATCGAATTTCTTGCAATTGCACATTTAGCAATGAATTATCATTCCTTGTCCATGTAAAGATTTCCCACAACCAAACTTCTGTCAGAGCAAGTTTAATAATAAATTGATTTCCTATATAGGAATAGTAAGGAAAATTGAGAAATTTCACTCATTTCTCTCAACCCAAATACTTTTGGAATTTTAGCCAAGATAATATGTTTCCCGAATTCCCTGACATCATGAACTGTTCTTTCTATACAGAATGTGCGTTTGATTTAAATTCAGTCCCCCAAAAAGGAGATACGTCGGTTTTCCGTTCGATATTGTTACATTAGTGCCTTTCAAATTGATAGGTCTAAACTACTCTACTAATCATTAAACCTATGCTCGATGACTTTCAATAGTGTAGACTTTTCATTCGACGATCATATTGATATCTAAATTATGACATAATTAAATCTAATGTCCTCATAAAGCCACGTAGTGGTGCATCTTAGTGATGGGACCATGAGAAGAAAAGTCCCACGTAAACATTCATTCATCCTCATCCACTTGTGGATTCAGCCTCACTAAGCTATTTGCTTATGCTAATCGCCGAAGTTCTTGCATAATTGTATGACTTTTGGTACCCACATCGCTATTATTATAGGAGTCAGACGAATATGAAGAGGGGAGGGTGGTGAGATGCTTTGGAGTGGAAGAGGAATCAGCGGCGGTATATAACTTTCCCCTTAATTATGCTAATAGCGTATGACTTAGGTCGACTCTTGGTGGGGAATGGAAGACAATGTAGGGGATTGTCAATGGTGCGGACACATTATCCCCAATATTAATTCCGTGGAAGCTCTTTGATGTAAGCTACTTCACTTAGAATAGGCCATCAAACATTCATAGGATTGGCAATTATACCATCAATAATGCTGATATAATTTCAACCGATATAACTTCTATATAATTTTATAAAATTATTCAACTTCATTATTGAAATGGGAGAAATAAAAGCAGACATATTCACTACATTATTTAATAAATAATTTAAGAGTAGTTAATTAAAATTTAATTGTCCTATATAAGCTATAAACGCTCCTTTAAAACAATGTAAGCTAGTATCATCTCGTCTTCTTAGCCAACGAACTGCTCTCTAAAGTTAGGGGTGGCGCCATCACCAAAATTGTTTAAATCTGGCTCCTTCATGTGACCGTCTTCTTCTGCAATCAGATGGCTTTTAACTAGATATGAACTGAGAAATTAGAGGAAAGATGAATGAAAAAAATTAGCCCGGAAAATTTACATCAAATTCAACTATCACCCACTTGTTTTCAAAGCAAAGTGCATCACAAAGACACCAACAGTCTCACGTAATGAATTTTCCAAGAAATAAGAGACCTTACTCAAAATTGCAGTTAGCAATAAGGGGTCGGTTCAAGATTGAAATTCTTCAATTAACTCTTTTAACCACTATTTGTACTCATTATCCAATGCGATTCAGAGGCAAGCCATTTTGTTTAAGTGAGCTGCTAAATATCTACATGTATAGAGATAAAGTAATGAAAGGGCCATGTTTATTGAAAATGGTCCATGAAATTCATTTTGTTTGTACATTCTAATAGACGGAGATTAGTAGGTAACCCTTGGGTGGCCAAAACCTTTTCTCCTCGGGACTGACATCTCCAAAGTTCTCACGTACCGTCCCACCCAAAAAACTTGTTAAATTTCTTTTTGACTTTCGACTCCACTAAAATGAAAGCAAGTGAGGAGTCACTGGGTACTGATCACATTAACCGATCATCTCTCCTGTTTGTTCAGGGAACATGGATTTTTCTTAACTCTATTTATTCTACATCTTCATTTTCTCTTTTAAAGTGGCAACTACGTTTGTTGTAACCGAGGTTTTGATACATCTCCCCATGACTTGATATGAAAACTAATAACTAAAAATAAATTAATTAAATGACACTGATTCCATATATATCCCTGCCTAAAAACAGCATATTTAAATGGTCCCCTGTGGATTAAATCGCATGATAGTGGAACTCATGGTAATATATTTCGTAAATAAGAAAAAAATAGACGTTTTAATGGTTCGTTTTATGGTAGATGATTTTCACTATATTTAGAAAGTTATCCGTGGTTTACTCGTGAATATTTATTTATTTATATCAAATGGCAGGCATTTTGATAGTTTCATTAGCCCTTTAGGTGGCTTCAAGCCTCACAGAGGAGAAGAAATATCAAAGTGAAAAAAACTCGAGAGGGGGGGGGGAACAGAAGAGTGTTTCAAAGATGTAAAAGAGACAGACACAAAGGTAGAAAAAAGGTGAGGTGAGTACTGTGGAAGTATTCGAAT